AACATTAACTTACCAGACACTGAATAACTGCACAAATTAATAAGCGTAACGCAAATGAACCTATTTTTCTTGTTCTCCGAAACAAAATATTTCCTGTTGCCCAAACAAAACAAGTCAGTACAAGACTAATGATGTGGCAAGTCACTGCTAAAATATTCGCTGCTAGTATTAGTGTAAGGGAAATGAATATAACACGATCATAGTAATCAGTCATTAGCGAATGTTGTAGTTTGTTATTAATAATTATGTAAAAATTAAGTTACAAAATTTTTATTAAACCGTTTCTTACATACTGTTATATTGGTTGGGCAAAAATATTCATTGTGGGCTGCATGCGGTCCGCGGGCCCCCAGTTTGACATGCTTGCTCTAGAACTTCTCACATAAGGCGGCCCTGAGCTCCCTCTCCAACCCTCCTCCCTGCGTGCTCTACGATTGGTTGTCACTGTCTGTCCTTCCGGAAGGGCGGTGAGGTGCCATGTGGGCAGCTGGAATCCCATCTCCCTGCCTTTTCTTCTGCTGCCATCTCCCCTAGCATGCCCCTGTCCTGTTCTCCCCTGTCATCACACCATTCCCAACATGTCACTCAGCACCACCTCCAGGAAGCCTTCCCTGATATCTCCCCCATCACCAGGGGTTTCTTACAAAACACATAGCATAACAAGTATGTGCTTGCATTTCCCCCCCACTGTACGGTAAGCACTTTGAGGTCAGGGCTGTATCTTTGTGTCTTCAGTCATGGCATGGCCCCCTTAGTAAGTACTGTTTGAACAAGGAATGAATGGTCGCTTTCCTTGAACACCTGAGGGCCTTTGCCCTCATAGCCTGGAACACGTTGACCGTAGGCGTCCATTTATCTCATTCTTCCTCAGAGAGGTTAGCTCTTTAACTGAAACAGCATTCTAGGCACCCTGTGTCCCCTTTCCCATCCTGTTCACTTACCTGTGTATAGACAGGTAGTGATGAGTACGTAAGCCTATTCACACTTAGGGAAATTCATGGATAGTCAGTTACTATGCATCACATACTCGTTATTTACATACTCGTGTCTCCTCTGGGCCGGATGCTCCCTGCGTAAGCACGGGTCCTTGATTCTCTGCATCACTCTTCGCACGGCCTGTCTCCCAGGCGGCTGAGGCTCGCACCTGCTGTTCAGAAGGCACAGGGAGCCGGGTTCCCAGTCCAGACCTGGCTGGCCCTCCTGTTCCTCCGGCTGTTGTGTTTCTAGAACGGCCGTTCTCCTCCCAAGGGACATGGTATGCTAACCCTCCTGCTGCTGCGCTAGGAAGGAAGCTCTGGGCCAAGTGCCTCCGGCCGGTACTTCCCGTGACCTGTGTCCTGCCTCCCGGGCCATTCCCAGGGGCTTTTGGAAACAGAAGTTGGAAGTGGTCCTTGGGCCCACAGAGGCTCTTGCAGGTTTCTGTTCTTCCTGTCTCTTCCTTTCTGACCCGGCTCCCCGCTGAGAGCACGCGGCACACCCTGCAATCGTTCTTAGTCACCACCCGCCCTTTCCCTTTTCTCTTTGTTCCGAAACCAAGACTTTCCCTGCAGATCCTAAATTTTTTTTAAAACACATTTTTATTGATTTCAGAAAGGAGGGAGAGGGAGAGAGAGAAACATCAGTGATAAGAGAGAATCTTTGATTGGCTGCCATCTGCAGGGATTAAGCCCGAAACCCAGGCATGTGCCCTTGACTGGAATCGAACCCGGGACCCTTGAGTCCGCAGGCCCACACTCCATCCACTGAGCCAAATCGGCCAGTGTCAGATCCTAACTTTATCCTGGGTTTTGACAAGAATCCGTACAGCCCTTCGCACTGCCTCAGTTCGCCTGCTCTGAGTCTCGGCCTCAGGTGGGGAACTCCCAGATTCTAAATTTATCCCGAGAGTTCCCCACCTGAGGCCAAGACAGAGCAGGTGAACGGGGGGCAGTGCGAAGGGCTGTACCGATTCTTGTCAAAACACAGTGAAATCGCGTGTACGGGGGAATATTAACACTGTGAACAGAGAGCTCACAGGACTCTGATGAAGACAGCGCATGTCATTCCCCCTTTTCCGTTGAGATTTTTTGGTTTGGATGTTTTTCTTTTTGTCTTTTTTTTTTCTGCCTCTAATCCCCCCCCCCCCTTTTTATTTTCTGTTGAGAAAGAATACACTTGTAGAGTTTTTGGAAAATACAAAAGCACAAAGAAGAAAACAATCTTTCAACCCAGAGTTCTAGAGAGTGGAAGGAAGGGTAGGAGGGGGAGAGAGAGAGAGAGAAAGAGAGAGAGAGTGAGTGTTGGGGAGACTGCTTATTTAAAATATTTTTTCTGTTTTTAATTTTTTGACCTTTTTAAAAATATATATATATTTTATTGATTTTTTTACAGAGAGGAAGGGAGAGGGATAGAGAGTTAGAAACATCCATGAGAGAGAAACATCCATCAGCTGCCTCCTGCACACCCTACTGGGGAACGCAACCAAAGTACATGCCCTTGACCAGAATCGAACCTGGGGCTCTTCAGTCCACAGGCTGATGCTCTAGCCACTGAGCCAAACTGGTCAGGGCTAATTTTTTGACCTTTTAATTACAAAAGTAATCGTGTGTGTTGTGAAGTATTCTGATAGTTCTGAAGCATAAAAAGTAAAAGGTGAAGTCCCACGCCCTCTGTGTCCCTCAGGAGGGGACTCCCCCTGGGGCCTCGGTGCATGTGCAGTGTCACAGCTTTGTGATGCCTCCGGTCCACACGGGCTCCTGGAGGCCTGTGATGAGGTGACGCGGGGGCCGTTAGGCTGTGCGTCTAGTGACCCTTCCGACGGGCTGACTCTTCAACCCCTGGTCCCTCGGTGTCAGTTTTTTTCTTTGCTGCTGTCAGATCAGTTGTGCTCCCACCTTGAGAGGAAACCGTGTGGGGTTTTTTGAGTAAGAACTGGGATGCTCAAGGCCACCCCGAGACCCTATAAGCTGTGTTTCCTCTGCAGCTCTTTTGTGGTTCACAGCCCAGCATGGTCCCTCCATGGGGCCAGTTTTGAAAATCTCTTGCTTAGCCAGGCTGGTGTGGCTCAGTGGTTGAGCATCAACCTGTGAACCAGAGGGTCGAAGTTTGATCCCAGTCAGGGCACATGCCCGGGTTGTGGGCTCCATCTCCAGTAGGAGGTGTGCAAGGGGCAGCCAATAATGATTCTCCCTCATTGTTGATCTCTCTCCCTCTCTCTCCCTCTCCCTCTCCCTCTCCCTTTCTCTCAGAAATCAGTAAAAAAATATATATTTTTTTAAGTAAAATAAAAGTCTCTTGCCTGGGGAGGGGTCTCACCATGCCCTTTCCTGTCCTTTCCCAGCCACCTGCACTCAGCCGTGCGCCACGCGGTCCACTGTCACTGGGATGCGCAGTCATCTGTACGCGTCGTCTCGGACAAGAGGATGTGCTTGTCCTCTGCTCAGCCCTGGAGCTGATGCGGGTTATAAACGGGGGACAGCTGTCACGGTCACATGGAACTCCGTGAAACTCGGACACTCAGGCACATGATCGAGAACTCGGACACGCGGGGGCCATGCCTGAGACACGCTTCCTCGAGCTGAGGGTGCTGTCTTCTGTGTGTGGAAGGCGCCCATCACCGGTGCTTGGAGGGGGGAGTGCAGGCGGCTTGCTGCTTTCTGGTGCTGACCTCTCCCCCTCGCCTTTGCAGACAGCCGCCTGAAGCTCAGCCAGGTGCAGGGGAACCTGTCGGTCCTGGAGACGCGGCAGGTGCAGCTGGAGTGCGTGGTCCTGAACCGCACCAGCCTGGCCTCCCAGCTCGTGGTGGAGTGGTTCGTGTGGAAGCCCAACCACCCGGAGCGGGAGGCTGTGGCCCGTCTGAGCCGCGAGGCCACCTTCCACTACGGGGAGCAGGCGGCCAAGAACAACCTGAAGGGACGGCTGCACCTGGAGAGCCCTTCGCCCGGCGTGTTCCGGCTCTTCCTCCAGAACGCGGCAGTGCAGGACAGCGGCACCTACAGCTGCCACGTGGAGGAGTGGCTGCCCAGCCCCGGCGGCCTGTGGTACAAACGGGCCGAGGACACTGCCGGGCAGACGGCTGTCACAGTCACGCGACCAGGTGAGAGCTCCTGTCCCCGGGCCTCCACACCCGCTCCCACTCCCCCTGTGCGTATGGTATCGCATGCGCGGCCTAACATTAGTTCGTCAGTTAATCCGTTGTCTGCCGTCACATCTGTGCGCAGTCACCATTTGCATTCAGTATTGCCTCCATTTCCCCCTCGTGAATGGCAACGTGCACATCTGGCTTCGGCCTCAGGGGATTCTGTTTGTTCACCAGACTATCATTCGATGATTAATGATTCCAGATCATGGAGTGTCTTCCTTTTAAAGAGTACATTCAGACTTGGACACGTGGTAGATGTGCAGGAATCTTGAAACAGGAGCCATGTGGTTCAGAAAGGAAGCTTATGGATTTTCAGTGGGGAAGAAATTGATTCGTGTGCTTCAAGTAGAAAAAAGATGAAGTCCATGCAGCCTGCACTCTCACTTCCACGCAGTGTTATTGGTGTGAATGTCCAGTCCATGGGGCCTTGTGCTTCTCTTGTCTTTCTTGTTTGTTTCTAACAAACCTGAAAACGCACAATTACTAGGGCTAGTTATGGTGACACGTTTAAACACGCAATGAAAGGGACTTCAGCCAGATGAGTAGCCTGGACCCCCCAGCCCGCCTTCCTTCCTTCCCGTCTGAGCACAGTCACGTGCCGCTTACCCACGGGATCGTCCTGAGCAACGCGTCGCCAGGCGGTTTTGTTGCCGTGCGAACATCACAGAGTGCACTTCCCACACCTCATGGTGCAGCCTCCTGCACACCGGGCTGCATGGCCCAGCCTATCGCTTCAGGCTTCACGCCTGCATGGCGTGCTCTGTACAAAACCACAAGATTAAATCCAGCACAAGAGAAAGTGATGCAACCAGGAGACACAGTAAACGAGACGTATGAGGTGTACAGGCCACAATGGTTTATAAGCAAACATGTTTTATTGTAAGTAGAGAGAGCCCACTTTAACATAACGATAAAACGTATCATGTAGCAAATTCATAAACCAGTAACAGCCGTTGATTGTCATCGCACCGCGTACTGTACGTAGCTGTAGGCGCTGTGCTTGATACGGCCGCAGCGCAGTAGGTGTGTTCACACCAGCGTCACCACGAGCCCGTGAGGAAGGCCGTGCAGTACAGACTTCCGGTGGCAGCGACGTCCCTGGTGATGGGAATGTTTCAGCCTATGGGACCCCATCCTGTATGTGGCCCAGCGTTGACCGAAGCTCGATTATGTGGCGCGTGACTGTATGTAAGTAGATCATGCCAGTTACAGAACATTTGGAAAACAGAAAAGTGTAGTTTTGAAAAAGAAAATTATCTATAATCTCACTAGCGTTTCATAGCCACCATTTTTACTGGTTGCATAACTTTAGTTGTAGGGCTGTTCTTCGAGGTGTTCTTCCTGAGGTATAGGTTAGACCAGCCGTGGGCAAACTACGGCCCACGGGCCGGATCCGGCCCGTTTGAAATGAATAAAACTAAAAAAAAAGAAAGACCGTACCCTTTTATGTAATGATGTTTACTTTGAATTTATATTAGTTCACACAAACACTCCATCCATGCTGTTGTTCCGGCCCTCCGGTCCAGTTTAAGAACCCATTGTGGCCCTCGAGTCAAAAAGTTTGCCCACCCCTGGGTTAGACGGATAGAAGACTTGGAATAATGCAACTCCAGATTGCTTAAGGTCGACCATAGTATGAAATTCATGAGGGTAAGGGCTCCTGCCCTCAGTGAGGTGGTACTAGCCAAGCAGATTGGCAGTAGTGTTCGGCTCACACAGGTGGGAAAGAGAGAGCCACCTTCGTCAGACCGCCCGGGAGTTGGGGGTCAAGGACACTGCCTTGGAGCCGTCAGCACAACGTCGGGGAGGGCAGGGATGGACTTCCTCAGGGCTCCCACCTGGAGGAGGAAAGGAAGGAGTGCTAACCTCTGAAGGGGCATGTTGGTCTATTCTAGGAGTCAGACATGGGGAACCAAATTGGTAGAGAGGCGTGTTAAGGGGAGTAGGGGTTGAATGAGGGTGGAAATTAATTTTATTTGAAAACCTTGTATTGAGTCACTACTGCAGACAAGGCACTTAAAGGGGCCCGACGAAGGTCTGAGCAGTTAGACAAGAAGAGACAAAGGGAGAGGGGATGGGGCAGAGCACTCTGGGGCCCGGCCTCCTGCTACGGCAGGCCCATGGCCACCTTCCCTGGGCCACTCCCCGACACAGTGGCCCGTCGCTAGGGTTGTTAGGACTCAGTGTTAGACTCTGGGGGGAAACGCACCCTAGACCTCCCTGCTCTGCAGCGATTCTCTCCATGGCTTTGGGGTCAGGTGTTATCCATGTTCTCTGGAGGAATCAGCCAGTGACCACATCAGCCTGTGGACAGATTTCATATTCCCCTGTTCTGCCGCTTTCTGTCCCCAGCACATCCCCCCTCTCCCCGCCCCACCAAGGGCTGGGATGGCACGCTGTGCCCTGTTGTGGTTCTGAAGACCCTGTGTGCCAGGCGTGCACACCGAGATTCCAGGTGGGCTGAGGGGGGTGCCCAGGGGCTTGGCGGAGCCCCACAAAAGCGGTGGGAACCCCAGCCTTGTGTTCGCCTGTGAGCGACATTAAGCCAATTCATTGAAAGCCCAGGACAGTCCTTGGGAAATGCTCCGATTTGGTCTTCATCCAAGGAGACTCCGACATGGTCTCTCCGCTTTTGTTAATGCTGCGTTGGCATCTTTCACACGCGTTTCATAAACAGAGCCTTTTAGGAGCTGGGGAGAGAGTGGTTTGCGTAGAACCTACCCACGTGGGCCGTTAAAACAGCCGCAAAATACAACAGATTCGGGCTGACAGTGTCTGTGAGCCGTGACTCACCTGGTGGGGCGCCTCCCGAGGCTGCGGTTTCTCTGTCGGGGAGAAACTGCCTGTGTCATCCTCCGAGGGTGGGGGTCCCTGCTCAGTCGAGTCCCCTTTCCTGTCTGGTGTCTGCTGTTTGGCTTCTGTCCTTGGAGAATGTTCACCTCCTGGAGTCACGGTAGCGAAGGCAGCAATCTACATGCACACGGTGCAGATGCAAAGGCTGCCGAGGGTGAATTCGTCTCCCAGGGCCGCCGGAACACAGGCGCCCAAACCTGATGGCTTAAAACACTGAAACGTATTCCTTCTCAGCTCTGGAGGCTGGAGGTCTGAGATCAGGGTGTCCTCGGGGCCGTGCTGCCCTCTCCCCCCAGCTCCTCGGGCCCCAGCTCCCTGGCCTGCAGCTGTGTCACGCCAGCCCCTGCCTCTGCCTCACCTGTCTTCTCTGTGTGTCCTCTCCGCTTCTTCTTCTTTTCTTTTTAAATATGTTTTTATTGATTTTAAAGGGAGAGAGAGGGAAACATTGATGTGAGAAACATTGATGGACTGCCGCCTGCACGCCCCCTACTGGGGATTGAGCCCATAGCCTGGACGTGTGCCCTGTCTGGGAATTGAACCAGCGAACTTTTGTGTCACACTTGCCAGGGCCTCTCCCCTTCTTATAAGGACACCAGTCGCTGGATTTAGGGCTCATCGTAACTTAAGTTTCCGATCGAGGCCCCATGCTGGGGTTCCAGGGGGACGTGAATTTGTGAGGGTGGGCGGAGGACACACTGTTCAACCACTGCCAGGGTTTGCAGTGAAAATACCTGTCCCCCCGCCCCCCAGATTCCCATACGCAGCCACAGCACCAGGTCTGTGAGTTCTTCCACGGGCACCCCACGCAAACATAGACATGCACGTCAGAATAAAACGTGTTCTTCTGCTTACCATGCCGCGTGGGGAACACAGCGTGCTGCTCTCTAGCGCTTTTCCTTGACTCTCCTTTCCCGTCTCTGCACATAGTGCCGTCTCATCCCTCTCAGCAGGTGCGCAGCAAGCTGTTGTCTGATTACTACAGTGTGTTTAGTGATGGACATTGAGGTTGTCTTGAGCAAAGAAATTAAAACAGGCTCTTCTCCCTCCTGTGTCCCCTGTCCCCCCAGAGGCCGCCCTGCAGGTGGACACGGTGGTCCCCAACGCCACGGTGACCGAGAAGGCCGCTTTCCAGCTGGACTGTAGCATCGTGTCGCGCTCCAGCCAGGACTCCCGCTTTGCGGTGTCCTGGTATTCCCTGAGAACTAAAGCCGGGGGGAACGCGGGCAGCCCTGGCCTGGAAGAACATGAAGACGAGGACGAGGATGAGGACGAGGACGAGGACGAAGAGGAGGAGGAGGAGGAGGAGGAGGAAGAGGACCCAACAGAGCGGGTGGCCCTGCTGAGCGTGGGCCCCGATGCCGTGTTTGGCCCCGAGGGCGGCCCCTGGGAGGGCAGGCTTCGCTTCCAGAGGCTGTCCCCCCTACTCTACAGGCTCACGGTGCTGCAGGCAAGCCCCCGAGACACAGGCAACTACTCCTGCCGCGTGGAGGAGTGGCTGCCCAGCCCCCAGAAGGAATGGTACCGGCTGACGGAGGAGGAGTCGGCCCCCATCAGCATCCGAGTGCTGGACACAAGTGAGTTTTCCCGAGTCACAGGGGGAGGAGGTCCCAGTTGATTACAGCTGCCTAGAAGATAAAGATCACAGCTGGATTATGGGTTCGTGAGCTGCATTCTCGCCTGTCCTGAGCATTTAGGATCTGCATACCAGTTCGTGGAATTGACCTGATTCCTTATGCCCAAAATAGGGATTGAGCCCTGGCTGGTGGGTTCAGTTGGTTGAGCGTCATCCCATGCACTGAGAGGTCTCCGGTTCTATTCTCTGACAGGCTCAGTCTCCAGTAGGGGATGTGCAGGAGGCAGCCCATCAATGGTTCTCTCTCATCATTGATGTTTCTCTCTCCTTCTCCCTTCCTCTCTGAAATCAATAAAAAAAAATACATATTTAAAAAAGAATATAAAGGTTGTCCCCATTCTTAGTGGCGGCAGGGGAAGGACAAGTGGCTTCCGTGGGGTCGGGGTTGGGCAGTGTCCAGCTGGTAGCTGAGCAGGTTTTCAGGAGCAAAAGCTGACAGCCAGGTCCTCAGCCCTCATTGTCTTGTCTCCTTCCCGGTCCTTTCAGGTTCCACACTGCAGTCCGCCATCTGCTCCAATGATGCGCTCTTCTACTTCGTCTTCTTCTACCCGTTCCCCATCTTCGGCATCCTGATCATCTCCATCCTGCTGGTGCGCTTCAAGAGCCGGAGCTCCAGCAAGAACTCGGATGGGAAGAACGGGGTGCCCCTGCTGTGGATCAAGGAGCCGCACCTCAACTACTCCCCCACTTGCCTGGAGCCGCCCGTCCTCAGCATCCACCCAGGAGCCATAGACTGAGGGCCCCCCGGGGACACCGGCCACCAGGGGCTGAGGGCCCCCACGCTGCCTCTTGCTCTGTGATGGGACAGCAGACAGCACCCAGACTCCGGACAGCCCTCCCAGAAAACTGTCCGACGTGAGATGTGTTCACAGTCCCCGGCCAGCCACACAGGCAGCCTGCTGCCTGTGGGTGGCGGCCCTGGTGGGTGAGCGATTTCCGGGCAGGTGTGGTCATCCCGCGGCATTAGGTCTCTTGTTTTCGTTCTTGGTAATGTAGTGAGCGGCGCTGGTGCCACGCCTACTCACAGGTAGTAATAGGTAGACGTCGCAGGGGTCTCACTCTTTCTATTGGACTCTTTAAAAACCCGTGGTTTATTCTTTTTGGATTTTGTAATATTGTGGACGCATTTCTCTTACGTACAACGGATGAGAAAAGGAGAGACGGACTTTATAGTGTGAAGGAATCCCTTCCAAGACCTTTGGTTTTTGCACACTTGAAAATGCCACCACCGGTGGAACAAAAGACACACGAACGTTTTTTACTTCCTTCCTGAGACTTGAAAACGATGGGAAGTGTGGGCCCAGTTTGTATCTTATCTTTTCCCTCAGCTGGAGTTTTTTTGTTTTGCTTCAAGAACTGTGTCTGTGCCAGAGAAATCCTGCATAAGCCCATTAGGAGAAAGGAGATGGTGGCCAGCCAGCCTATTCGCCAGGGAGGCAGAAATCGGCGTCCTCCCAGCCTTGCCAAAAAATTCGAAACCTTGGTTGGAGAACAAGTCAAAAGCCCCAGACAGCTCTCGCTTCGCAGCGTGGGCAGGGGGACCTTTCAGCAGTGACTGACTTGCATGTCGGTCAGAGCCCGTGGTTAGTGGAGGGAGGAAGAAGGACTAATTGTTGGCTTGATGCGGTCACTGAGGGCAGTCTCCAGCTGGGAGCTGAGCAGGTGGGCTTCCGTGCTAAGGTGCTTTGCCAAACTCTTAAGAGAAAGTGGCCAGTGAGAAGATACGGATGTCTTCCTTCCTCACCATTGATCCCTCCCTGCTTCTTGCTGCCGCGCCCAGGGAGGCCCCCTCGGTCCTTTGTAACCCTCCGCTGACGGTCCGGTCTCCGGTCTCCACAGGAAGCACCACATGCTTTTGTCCGCAGGGGTTTTACCTTCCCTTCCTCAGATCGAGTCTGTGGTTTAGATGATTTGGTGGTTCGTTTTGATGGCGGCATTTTATTTAAATGCCCTGAGCGTCCCAACAAAGGCCAGTGTCACCCTGCTGCTTTACAAGCCAGAAGCGTGGCCCCAAGGGAGCGGCAGCGGCGGCAGGCGCTCACCCCTCCAACGGAGATGTTTCATGCCCCGACTTCCCCGTGTTTTGCGGGCCAGCGGTGCCATCACCCTTCCTCAGTGAGCACGCATCTCGGATCCCAAGGGAGTTCCCGGTTTGGAAAAGGCCAGCACAGATTTGGGCGCTAAGTTGAACCAGAGAGCTCGCTGGGAAACCCTGTTCTGAGACTGAACAGCCTCCAGGGAGGCGGGGGGCTCCCCAGGCCATGTGGGTGCTGACCCTGCTCTGGGTCTGGGGTGCTCAGCAGGTGCTTTGCTGCGTCAGAGCTGAAGGGAAGCACTTCCTGACAAGCTCACACACACCTGCCTTGTACTCCCTGTGAGAGCCCAGGCTCACATGCCCGTTCCCACGTACTGTGCTGCACGAATGCTGTAGGGTGCATATTCGGCTCAGTGGTGAGGGAAGAAGGCAGTCTTCTGCCCCATTTCATCATTTCAGGGCTGTGGGCTTTCAGTGGGAAATTGCTGCGCTTTAACTCACAGACTGAGTCAATGGGGGAAGAAGGCTTACTGGTCCTCTGTCTGAATGGAAAGATGCCAGAGCGCTGTCTGGGACCGGGATGTGCACCTGAGACTGGAGTTTGCATCGACAGCTGCAGAAAGGTAGCTGCTGCCACGTCATGACATAGGTGAAGTCGTCGCGGGAAATTTGCAAGAAAAGAAACCGAAGCCAGTATTTTAATAATTGTTTTTCTTTTCTGTGTCTTTTCTATGGGCTTGGGGAATACCATCAAAGGGGGAGCTTTCCCAGCTTTCTATGAAAATCCCCAGGACCTTCCCTTTTTTGGACATTTCTAAAGAAATGTGGTGTCAGATG